ATTTTTATTTCAGGATTCTTTGATGAATTGAAAGTTCAAAAGAACAGAATTGATCTGTTCTTTTGAATTGAATTGTTTGGGGTCAGTAAGAATTTATTTTGTATTTTTTGGGGAAAGAAATTAGAAAATACTTTTATTCATCAAGGATGAGTTAAATTGATCATAAGTTACAGTAAGGACATTTATAATGTTAGAAAAGATGATTATATATTTTAAATGAATGCCGCTCTTTTAAGCTTTCTATTCATCATTGAATTTTGGGGAAAAAATGGTACACGACTGTTTTCAACATTGAAAATAATAATTTATGTTTTTCGAGCATAAAATCAGCATATTAGAATGATTTCTGAAGGATCATGTGACACTGAAAACTGATGTGTAATCAGCAACAGTAATGATGTTGAAAATTCAGCTTTCAAATGACATTTTAAAATATATTAAAATAGTCATTTTAAATTGTCAATATTTCACAATATTACTGTTTTTTTTCATCAAATAAAGCAGCCTTGGTGAGCAGAAGAGACTTTAATTTAAAAACAGAAAAAATCTTAATGATCTAAAACTTTTGACCGGTAGTGTACATGCAAATATTTCTTAAATATATACATGCATGTGTGTGTATTTATATATGCAAAGTAATTATACACACTAAACATATATTATGTAAACACAAACTTTTATTTTGGATGCGATAAATCGTGATTAATCCTTTCACAGCCCTAGTAAAAAATCTAGTTAAAGTATACTTCATGATACCATTTAGTTTGTGTTTGTCAACTTGTCATGAAGATGTTGTTTTCTGAGCTGTGAAAACAAATCCACTTTGCATGCACTTCCAAAGGATAAGGAAGTCACACCATTGTTATTGTTCATAGCGCTGTGTGCATTTCTGACACACGCTGTAAGCACTTGGTATATTAAGTGAATAGAATTGATATGTGGGTACAGTTTCACGTTTGTCAGCTATTACTAATTTGAAGTGGAATGATATTTTTGTGCTTTTTAAGATGCGTTTGTGACAGTGTTGGATGTCTGTGTCCTGTAAGTGTCTCAGCGTCTCGGTTCTAATGGCGCCCGGATTTATCCTGTCTGCCGAGGACTCTGATTAAACATGCAGGGAGGTTGTTTTTGGCACTGGCACAGTAAAATGGGGGGTGGCGGAGGGTTTGAAGCTCTCCGATAAAATCTTGAGATGCTATTGTTCTGTCTGTCAGATATGCTGTGTTAGAGAGGTGACAGCCCAGCTGGAAAAGAGTGTATTCTTCGCCTGTGACCATGAATAGTTTATTTTCACAATGTGGTTTAAATGAAAGCAAGGTATTTGAGTGCAATAACTCTTAATCCAAAGACATTTCTTCTTGAAATGTTAAATGTCATTCATTAAATGTTATTAATTTGTTCCCTCTTTCATTTCCCTCCTGTCAATCAAAAAGATTTTTTTTTATCTCATTCTTTTCCAGTATACTTACACTAGTGGCACTTCCTGTTCTCTTGTGCTCTATAGCAGTGATGAAGCCCTCTTTTTCAGCAGAAGTTGGGATTGAAAACCTCCTCGGCTCACCTTTATAAGTTGTTTCCATAGCAGCAGGAAATTGAATGCAGAGAGTGACACTGACAGCTGTCTTGAGTTATACATCGGTTGGTACTGAGTAATGAGAGAGTCTACGGTTATGATGAGCCACGTGTGACCTTGAGCATGAGGAGTTGATGCCTGGGGCAAGATGTGAACTCACTTCACACAAGCTGAACCCTTTCCTACTTGCTCTTTGTACTTGTGCAGCAAGAAATCCTCTAGTGGTGTCCTTGGACTCCGAAACTCCCCTAAGTAGCTCGGTACGGTATTGTTTATTCTCTACTTTGGATGTTGCATTTGTGATCTTGGGTCATTTTATGAAGCTGTTCGACTACACTCTTAGAAGAAATGGTTCTATTTAGAACCAGAAATGGTTCCATCCCCCGCTTCATTCTATATAGAACCATTTTTTTGGTAAAAGGTTCTATTGGCCAAGTATGGAACCCCAGGGTTCTACGTATATAGAACCCAGAGGAACCCTTTTTTTAAGATTGTAAAGAACCTTTTAGGGGTTCCGAATACGTAGCACTGATAGAACCTTTTAAGGTTCTATATAGAACCTTTTCTTCTAAGAGTGTACTTTTGAAATGTATTTTCTATTTGCTGTGATAATACTTTTCCAAAAGTAACATGGTTGATCGTAGTCTCTTAAGTCTCTTACCAAAACTGCATTTTTTTTTTGACCAAAAATACAGTAAAAACATTAATGTTGTGATATATCATTACATTTTAAATGAATTGTTTTCTCATTAAAATGTTATTTTTTCAAACAAATTTTCCAAAGCTGCATTAATTTGATAAAAATACAGTAAAACATTATTGATCTGTACTTTACTCGAGTATCATCTTTGGGGAGTACTCATGACTTCACTCAAGTACATTTGAGATGGAAATATTGTACTCTTTACTCCACTAAATTTCTATCCATAACCGTGAGTAGCCGTTACTACTTCTAAAAAAAATATATATATATATATGGAAAAAAGTCAAAAACTTGGAAACCCTCAATTTGTCGTTTCCCTCTCAAACGTGATTGGATTGTGCAGGCGCCACTGATTGGCACAGCCTATCAGTAATCACCTTCAGCTTTCCGCCAATGGTCAGATTTAGATTAGAGACGAAACAATGGATGAAGACGCAGCCAGTCCATCCCGTGAATGTACCAACCCGTGGCCCCACCTTGCCAGACCATTTCAATTTTCTGAATTTTCTTAAATGTTAAAGAAAGCAACATGGTAAAAAGATGAAAATGACTTTATTTTAATTTCAATTCATTTACATTCTCCTAGGCATTAACATTTTCATGTAGGACGTTTCTGTACATAAATGTAAGCACTGTGGCAGTAGTAATGCAATATTTCGAAAATGTACTCTTGGTACTCAAGTACTTTTAAAAACAAGTACTTCAGTACTTTTACTCAAGTAGACATCTGACTGAGTACTTTTACTTTAGCAAAGGGTATCTGTACTTTTACTCAAGTAATAAAGCTGTGTACTGATGAGTATATATGGGGATGATTAGGAGGCCATGATAGATAGAGGCCAAGGGGCAAATTTGGCCATGATACCTGGGTTACACCCCTACTCTTTCAAACAACATCCTGGGATTTTTAAAGGGGAAATGAAGCAGTCAATTTTCCAAGTTTACATGATTTACAAGATGGATTTCCACTATAATCAACAATTATATAAGAAACAGGACAAATGTAAACATTTAAAAGAAAAAACGCTATATCTTTCGCCGCCAGGGCGCCACCATTGTCTAGTGAGTATTCTAATATGTGATGTCACGGGGTTGGTTGGCTTTAGTTTAACAGGCTCTGGACAGTGAATATCCCGACATCAAACTGTTTACACCACAGTGTTTTGACGGCGAATAACTAATGTTAGGTACAGTCATTATTAGCTATCAGCTGTAAGCATGGACTAGCTAATGCTAACTTTGTGTTTAGCGCCCTAACGGCGAAAGATATGACGTTTTTTCTTTTATATGTTTACATTTGTCATGTTTCTTATATATTATATATGAATATTCATTTCCCCTTTAATGACTACAGAGAGTCAGGGCTGGGGCGTTAGGACCCACACAGACCACAGGGGAGCGCCCCCTGCTGGCCTCACTAACACCTCTTCCAACAGGTTTTCCCAGGAGCCTCCCATCCAAGCACTAACCAGGCTAAGTCCTGCTTAGCTTCAGTGGGCAACCAGTCTTGGACTACAGGGTGATATGACTGCTGGCAACTAATTTCATTGCTAATCTCATTACTTACACATTAATTAGGGAAACAAAATGCATCCTTTTTTTTAGAGTTGCACTCTTGGTGTTCTTTTTTTTTTCTTCATTTCTTCACAATGCACTGTTACATTTTCAAGAAAGTAATATACAGCAATGTATTTTTAAAAACTATTATATAATTGCATTCATTACAGCTCAGCCAACTGGAGATAACTTGATAAAACACTTCCCACTGCAAGAGTCATTTTCAGCCTCCATGCCACCTCTAGCCTTCTCCATGGCAGATCCGCCTCACTGAGTCTTACCTGCATGTCTAGATCTGACGTGTGTCTCAGGAGGGGGGGAGATGAGAAGCGTGGTGGGACGCTTGCCTGACTAACATGTCCTTCAGTCGAAATTTCTATTTGGCATCATTGAGCTTTAACTGGATTTCTTGCCTGCAGGTGGTCAGGAGGTCAATGTGTGTGTACCATTGGGAGTCTATGCAAGTGTGTGTATGTGTGAATAGATAGAGTGTCAAAGGCTGCACTAAAGTATCAGACTAACCTGCCACTCAGCTGTTGCGGCGGTATGTGTTCCCATGGGAATCCCGTTTTAGCCAATTAAATGCAAAGATGACATGAGACCACGGAAGGGGTTTTAAATTGATGAAAGAGAGTCTGTGGCCATGGAGACAGATCTTTGGAGCTGGATTCAATCATCTCATTTTATAATTTTATTACAAATATACTGTAGACTACCCAGACTACAGTATATGCTACTGGATCGTTTTTGTGGATCATCTCCACTTAGAGTCAGCATGAAATCAAAATTTACCCTATTGAACGGAAATTTTGAACGATTCATCGCTGCATGCTATTGAAAAGAAAAAAATGTCTTTCATCACTTCACTAAACCCATTTATTTTTCAGTGCTTAGTTTTCACAAACCAGTCAATTCATAGATCATTTTCAGTTTTTTCAGTTTAAATGAATTAGTTTGCGAACTTCATGTGTTAAGATCCAAAATCAATGTGCGTACAGTGTCTGCCTTTGTGTTTATAATGTTCCATCACTTTCCCTCACAGAATCTCTCTTCTTCTTTCAGTCCTCACCCTCAGCCTTTAATCTTTTTTTCAAGATAACCCTCATCACCTTTTCCCCTTCATTCCCTATACTTTCCCTCTTTTCAGATGAATCATGTTCTTTTCAGAGGTTCGATGTGGGCTATTCAGCGCCTGAAGTGGCCCACCATTACCGCCAGTGCAATCGAATTGTTCCACAGAAAGCTCTTAGCAGCAAAAAGCGCTCCAGCAACTCTGTGGAAAGCACACAAAAATGGAGTCGTCTTATTTGTCCTGATTTTGAGTGGGCTCGCAGAGTGCTTATAACTCTGGCAGTCTTCACGAGGGTCTTACTTGAACTCTTGTCTTTAAACCGTTAGCCCACATTTTATTGAAAGTTTAAAAGCATTTATCTATCTTTTCTCAGGGGCATTCCAGGGAAGAAATGCGGGAACATTATCTTCACGGCTGAGGAACTCAGCAATTGCAGGGTCAGTACAAAACTAACGCACATGCACACACACATTGTCTACTGTCTTTCATCAAGCTGAATGCCTAAAGCATTGTATTTAAATATCAGAGGTGAAGTGCCTTTTTTTGCCAATGTTAGGTACTGAGAGACAGAAAAAGCAAAATGATATCTAGATTTTCCCAGTTAATCCATTATGGATTTCTCTAGTCATTTATGAAGAAGCATCTCGGTGAATCTCATGAAACCTGTCAATAATGCATCATATTTCATTACGTGACATATTTCATTAAAGAAATTTAAATTAATAATTATATTTTGTTTAATGGAAAGGAAGCTTGTAGTACCATTAAGATTGGTTTTGTTGTCACTACAACATTGATATGGTAATGAGCACATTTTTTTCCCTAATTTAAATTACTGCTAAGAAAAAAAAAATATTTTATGTCATATATTTACACATCATGGAAGTATTTTTTCTTTAATTTTTTGTAGCAAAAAATTTAGTACCATTATGATTTGCATTACAAAATATATATTTTTAAAAATAAAAAAGTTGTTTTTGATATATTAAAGTATTTATACATCATATTTGTTGCACTTTATTTTACTGTATGTTAATGTTAAATAAAAACGTAGTAAATATATGTGTCATGACCATCAAATCAATGACCATCACTCTCATGCAAAGCAGCCAGAATGTTTCTTCATTCCATGATCCTTTCTCATATTGAATATTGTTTTATAAACTGGTCACCCACAAACGCCACAACACTTAAAGCAAGTCACTTTTCAAACGAGCTTTAAAAATCTTTGATAGAAAACCGCTCTCATATCATCACTGCCTAATACTGCAGAAATATAACCTGCTAAGCTTTGAAACATTTCTGAAGTTCAAATATGCCTGTGCTATATATAAGTTCCTACATGGACTTGCCCCACTCCCACTAAGTGAATATATTAAATTGAAAATAACGGATGGTGGAAGAACTGTAACCAGGGCATCCACGTGCGGTGATTGTATGGTGCCTTACAGACGTACAACATTTGGACAATACTGTATGTATTGTCAATTAAGGGGTCAGAGATCTGGAACAAGTTACCGGCTGCCATGAGAGAATGCCTGACTTACCTCAGCTTTAAGAATCAACTCAAACAATGGTTCTAGACACATTAAATTTGTGACCACTAGCAGTCTTTGTTGTATTTTATGTGTATGGGTTTGTTCACTGTTGTATTGTCTAAGTATATGTATGTATACCATACCAGATCTAGCACTTTAAATACTGCATTAAATAGTTAATAGTAACTTTAACATAATTAAAATGTACTTAATGTACATAGAATAGCACTTTACTGTGTCCGCCGTACACTCTCAGAAAAAAGGTACAAAAGCTGTCACTGGGGCTGTAACTTTTCAAAAGGTACATTTTTGTACCTAAAGGGTGCATATTGGTACCTTAATGGTACATATTAGCACCTAAAATGTACATATCAACACTTAAAATGTACATATCAACACTTAAAATGTACATATTAGCACCTAAAATGTACATATTAGTACCTAAAATGTACATATCAACACTTGAAATGTACATATCAACACTTAAAATTTACATATTAGCACCTAAAATGTACATATTAGTACCTAAAATGTACATATTAGCACATAAAATGTACATATCAACACTTAAAATGTACATATTAGTACCTAAAATGTACATATTAGCACATAAAATGTACATATCAACACTTAAAATGTTCATATTAGCACCTAAAATCTACATATTAGCACCTAAAATGTACATATTAGCACCTAAAATGTACATATCAACACTTAAAATGTACATATTAGTACCTAAAATGTACATATTAGCACATAAAATGTACATATCAACACTTAAAATGTTCATATTAGCACCTAAAATCTACATATTAGCACCTAAATTGTACATATTAGTACCTAGAATGGACAAAACTTTACCTTTTAAAAAGGTACAGCCCCAGTGACAGCTTTGCTAAGATGCCCATTGCTAAGATGTCCCTTGAAGACTTACAATGATCAATGCAAGACCGTAAAATCATGCCAAGTGCAGCATTTGGCTCTCTATTTTGTCCCATCCATGTTAATACCCTGTCCATCTCTTTTCAGTCATTCCACTCACAATTTGGCTGTTAGTGCCTTGGGCCAGTCCATAAAACCACATCATTTTTCAGATGGCTCAAATTATGTATATATATACAATTTCGTCCCTTTGTGTCCTTGTAATAGTATGTAACTACAGGGAGTGTTTGGCAGAAAGCTGTGACAGTTCACCTCAAAAACAGCTTCTTCCTCCCCAAGAGGGACGGGCCGTTTTAAAAGGCAGATGAGCTGTCTGTCCAGTGTGTCACACAGACCGTAGTTCCTTGTGTGCTCCCTAGACTCTCTCTCTCTCTCTCTCTATCAAGATCCAATTAAATCTGTTGCATGTGTGACTTCCCTCCTGGTCTTGAGGGTCTCCCTAGAGATCTGGTATTCTGAAGAGAACAGCACCAATAAATAGCTAAACACTGGAGACCTCCGCTCAACATTAATATGTATGAATCAATTGCTGTTCTCCTCTAACACAAGTGTGTCCTCTCTGTGGAATTGATTCCTTGTCCTAGTATTTTGCCTTTGTTGTATCCTGAACTCCTGCTCTGGAGAGATGTTAACTGAGGCCAGCAATTAAAATGCATTGTTGGATATAATAGTGCTAGTATCGAAGACTCAGAGTCTGGAGTGCATGTGCTTTGTTTTCTTGTTTGTTTTTGGCAGCTCTAGGAATGTTCTATTCCCATCTATCCCAATGTAATCAAAGTTTTTTTTTTTATAACAGGACATTGCAACCATGCAACTCTGTGCTAACAAGTTGGATAAAAAGGATTTCTTCGGGAAGTCCGACCCCTTCCTGGTGTTTTACCGCAGCAATGAAGATGGCACGTGAGTATGAGTGCTTAAAGGATTATTCAATCTTTTTTTCAGTTTTCCACCCCTGTTGTTTCCAGGGTCATACAGTTTGAAATGTTGACAACAAACACAGATGTTTTTCAGATTTTCTTCATCAGTATTCTCTCCATATTTATGACGATTTGCAGCACTACTTGTACTGTAACTTTCCGCATCCTTCACTGGAAACCAAAAGTAACTCATTCGCGCTAAAAGATTACTCTTTAACCCTTATGTGCTGTTGTGGCTTTTTTCAGCCACTAAGGGGTATTTTTTAGTCTTAATTTGGCCGTAACTTTTTCTTTGTTTCAGCAAATGGAATGATTTTTGGTGACAAATCTTATTTTGACACATATTTTGGGAAAATGCTTTGAAATTTTTCAAAAACTCAACAGTACACTCTGGGCAAAAATCCACTACCCTTTCGTTATGTTCGTGGCTGAAAAAAGCCCACTACTTAAAACTGCTGTTAAAAATGTATCAGATAAATATTTTTTTCAATTTTTTTGCATAAATCTATTAACCGACCTCAGTCCTGATCAAAACTACTAAATGTTTAAAAAAAAATCAGGATTTTAACTCTTTAATTGCCAAATTCATAAATGATGTCACTGATTTGGAAAAAAAACACAGAAAATGACTTATTTTCAATATAAAATATGATTATGGACTGGATTTTTTTTTACTTTTTATCACAGTCTTGGACATGTCAAAGATTAGAAACAACATTGGTTTTGATGCATTGTTAGTTTTTGTGTAGCATCAGATTTTAAACTTTTTCTCCCTCATTTACTGTTCGTGGCTGTTTTTGCCCCATTGACTTCCATTATAACCACATTTTTTGATTGCAAAGCCATGACACCATAAAATCATGCATTTTTGATTGTTGATGGTTTTCCCTGTTGGGAAGAGGTAAAATTTTGTATTTTTACTGTTGATAACCAGGTGGAACCATTTAACCCTTTAGACAGGCCTGTGCAAAAAAAAGCTTAGTTTCTGGCTTTTACATGCAGTTATATGGAGTATAATAGCATATTACAGTGTGTATATGTGTGTGTGGGTGTGCGTGAGTGTGTGAGAGAGTGTGAGAACTCACCTTGATGCGTCTGAGAAAATAAAAATATACACTTCAGCTCTCAAAACTACATGGAGTAAACAAAAACAAAGTAAGTGTATTTATGCATCTGCTGCCTTTTGATGGTGAGAAATGCAGACTAAACAAAAACAAAGTAAGTGGATATAAACGCTTGTCATTTGATGGTGAGAAGAGCAGCAAGCAACATGAGAGAGGGCTTGACTTGTAGTGAAGTTTTAGAGATGATTATGCAGTCTGACCCCTCCAGCGAGCTGCAGGAGGTATTGTCTTCTCACTCTGACCGCAGACTCAGGACAGTCAGATCCTGGTTTGGATGTGGCACCCTCATCATCATCTCAAGCTTCCACTGAAGGCGAGGAGGATTCAGATGATCCTGGATCTGGATGGACTGGGAGAATCTTGAGAGGGACATGGTAGTTCTGAAAATCGCACGACCACTGCGATCATCCCACAGGCAACGTGTGGACTCCCCTCTGGATCTGTAGATGCTGGCCAAAATCAGTAGCCCCATATAGGCACAGAGATCTGTGGAGTCCACAGATCCAGGATCCTCTGAATCCTCCTCGCCTTCAGTGGAGCACTAGCTTCCACTGAAAGCAGGAGGATTCTGTGGATCCTGGATCGGGGTGGATTGGGAGAAATGGTGAAGTATGGTTTTCCACCAATGCGGAGACAATTCCCTTTCTTCAGCCTGCAAGAGGCGTGAGTCGAGGGCCGACACGCAATGCTATCGCAATGGTTCAGAACATGGATTCTGTGTTCAATCTGTTTTTTACGGAGGAGACGACTGACCTCATTGTCAGCATGACCAACCTCCATGGGCACCGCACAATGAGAAACTGGACTGGGGTGGACTCCACAGATCTCTGTGCCTATATGGGGCTGCTGATTTTGGCCAGCGTCTACAGATCCAGACGGGAGTCCACACGTTGCCTGTGGGATGATCGCAGTGGTCGTGCGATTTTCAGAACTACCATGTCCCTCTCAAGATTCTCCCAGTCCATCCAGATCCAGGATCATCTGAATCCTCCTCGCCTTCAGTGGAAGCTTGAGATGATGATGAGGGTGCCACATCCAAACCAGGATCTGACTGTCCTGAGTCTGCGGTCAGAGTGAGAAGACAATACCTCCTGCAGCTCGCTGGAGGGGTCAGACTGCATAATCATCTCTAAAACTTCACTACAAGTCAAGCCCTCTCTCATGTTGCTTGCTGCTCTTCTCACCATCAAATGACAAGCGTTTATATCCACTTACTTTGTTTTTTTTAGTCTGCATTTCTCACCATCAAAAGGCAGCAGATGCATAAATACACTTACTTTGTTTTTGTTTACTCCATGTAGTTTTGAGAGCTGAAGTGTATATTTTTATTTTCTCAGACGCATCAAGGTGAGTTCTCACACTCTCTCACACACTCACGCACACCCACACACACATATACACACTGTAATATGCTATTATACTCCATATAACTGCATGTAAAAGCCAGAAACTAAGCTTTTTTTTGCACAGGCCTGTCTAAAGGGTTAAATGGTTCCACCTGGTTATCAACAGTAAAAATTACAAATTTTACCTCTTCCCAACAGGGAAAACCATCAACAATCAAAAATGCATTTATGGTGTCATGGCTTTGCAATCAAAAAATGTGGTTATAATGGAAGTCAATGGGGCAAAAACAGCCACGAACAGTAAATGAGGGAGAAAAAGTTAAAATCTGATGCTACACAAAAACTAACAATGCATCAAAACCAATGTTGTTTCTAATCTTTGACATGTCCAAGACTGTGATAAAAGGTAAAAAAAAATCCAGTCCACAATCATATTTTATATTGAAAATAAGTCATTTTGTGTTTTTTTTTCCCCCCAAATCAGTGACATCATTTATGAATTTGGCAATTAAAGAGTTAAAATCCTGAATTTTTAAAAAAAAATTAGTAGTTTTGATCAGGACTGAGGTCGGTTAATAGATTTATGCAAAAAAATTTGAAAAAAATATTTATCTGATACATTTTTACAGCAGTTTAAAGTAGTGGCTTTTTTCAGCCACGAACATAACGAAAGGGTAGTGAATTTGAACAATGCACAAGGGTTAAATTCTTGCACCTGGGAACAATACATGTCGACACCATAATCTACTATTATATACTCGAGCAAGGCAGTATTTGACTCTGATAAGTGTATCCATAGCAGACTTTTGTTAGTGTAATATAACGTACTTGTTTGGCTGATCATTTTTACGGGAATGGCCATAACCAGGGTTTGGAAATTAGTAAGGTCTGGGGTATTTTGTCAATCTTATATGGGTACCTTTTAATTGGGTGCACTCTCTCCATTGGTGAATAGACTAAGTAAAGGTGACAACAACCAGTGCATTATTGGTGTTGAAGTTTTCCCTAACTATTTGTCTAAAAGGGAAGTCAACAGCCTTTTGTTTTCTCAAGTCAGGTTGCACCAATTTCGACTTTATACTGTATATTCAGCCAAGTAAACAGCAGTACACAGATCTATAGAGTATGTTTCATAATGAAATATGCCAAATATGCAAACACTGGCCATGAAGAAGGCTATGCTATTCCATTCAGTTTAGTAGTTAACCTTTCTCATAGTCATGCTAAGAAAATGTTCTTATTATCATCCATATAGAAATGCTTGTAAACGAAAACTATTACAGGAATAAGAATCGTTGCATGCATAATAATCAAATAATAAAATCCCCCAATGGAGAGTGTACCCAATTAAAAGGTACCCATATAAGGTTGACAAAATACCCCAGACCTTACTAATTTCCAAACCCTGGTTATGGCTATTCCCATAAAAATGATCAGCCAAACAACAATATATTACACTAACAAAAGTCATTGTAAAGGTAAAAAGAGCTTAAACAAAAATAAAATTCTGTCATCATTTAATCACCATTAACTTTCCAAACCTGTATAACTTCATTTCTCCTGCGGACTACAGACGAAGTTATTTAGAAGTACTTTGGTGTGTCCCAATTGACTTTAAATTAATTTCACTGTAAATGGGTATGGATGACAGAATTTGCTGACTTTTGGGTGTATATCAGTGGCGTGCAGTGGTTTGTATAAATCTCATCAAGTTATTCTTTTGAGCATTTTTACATTTTACATTTATTCCAAAATAATAACTAAAGAAGCAACAATTTAAAAGCAATATATTTTATTTGTAAACTGACATTTAGCCGTTTTTCTTAATAGTCAACATATTTTCTGATCATCAGTCATCACGCTCAGTGAACACTGGTAACGGACACGAAGATTTGTCTTTAATTTCATTTTCACCAAGCTGATTTTGACGTGACACAAAATGGTGGGATCTAAGTGGATGAGTTGTTTACTTACTTTTTAATTAGTCTTCCCATTAACACCATCATTTTGATCATTCAGACTGATTTGCGAACATGCACGTAAACAAGAGGCGGGATTTATCGTGTGAACCAATCATAACCAATCATAGTACAATGGATGTATTGCCTCCTCCTACGTGACTCTCCGTCGTTCATTCATTCTCAATTACCCCCCACTAAACCTACCACATGCTTTAGGGGGTCTGTGAAAAGTCAATGGGCTCAAGGGAGGCAAGAGAGATGCGGACCCCCACTCAAACTTTATCTACTTGTGTCGCTGTTGGACAAACTAAAAAAACTATTGAAAACTATTTTTGGCACTGCCTCCCATGCATTTTTTTTGTTTGTCATGTTTAAAGCGAGAAAATCTCAACCAGTCAGATCATATTGCGGGATTAATAAACAGCAAAACGGAACTTAAGGTTGCATCTTTTCAGGAAACTGTTCTAGATGGAGCATGGTAAAAACAAAGATTCATCACTTCTGGACATGGTGTTAGCGTCATGTTTTCAGACTGAACATAAAAACCCATAAAACACAAAATGATCCCTAAGTGTTAGCTCAATTGACTGATAACAGAGGGTTATGGATGGTAGTTTTGTGAATCCCAAGAGGCTCTTCATGCCCACCATGAGCTGCTCTTCATGTTAACCACTTGTATTGATGGTGCCCTGTAGTTGGTTGATATTCATTTTCAAACGTATTCCTTTAAAGAAAACCATACAGCTGTCGTAGCAAGCCTTTAAATAAGATTTCCTTTTTGATTTGGCTCTTTTGTAGGTTCACTATCTGTCACAAAACAGAGGTGGTAAAGAATACTTTGAACCCTGTGTGGCAGCCCTTCACCATCCCAGTGCGAGCGCTCTGTAATGGAGACTATGACAGGTGAGGCTCTTTAAAACTCTTACAGAGAGTATAAACCCTGCTACTTTAAGATGATGTGAAAACAAAATCGTTTAATACATGTCTGGTTATTAAATATTCACTCATTTCACTAAACATGTAAAAAGTATTTTGTCTGTCAATTATCCCTATTCAGTCACTTACTTTCCTAGTCAACACATTTAGTTCCTTTTTAATAATATGTAATTTTTGTGCTCTTTACCCAGATTCGACTGCATACAAAACTGAACGCATTACATTCTAAAACCTTATAATTTTTCCACTATATAGATACAGTGGATGTTTTTTTTTTCATGTGCATTGGTCCTCCGCATGTTTTTGGATCATTTGTTTGTTTCACCACCCAAATAATTAGTTTAACTTTGATTAACACATATATTATCCATACAGAACGTATTTCTTCATTTAATGAGAAGTACAGATTGTTGAAATCACACAGAACAGATCCAATGTGATATAATATCACATTGGATAAATGCACTAACATTGTTAAAAAAATCATTTATATTTTCAATTCAATTCACATTTATTTGTATAGCTTTTTTTTACAATAATACTTATTGATTCAAAGCAGCTTTACAGAAAGTACACCTCTACATTACAATTTAGAGTGATCTGTTATCAGATGTGAGGTGACTATGTCCAAGTTATGTATATAAATCACAAATTTAGCCAATAATATATAAATTTAAGGGAGAAACAAAGAGCTCATTGAAGTAATAAATACATGTTTGTTAACAAACGATTAGGATATATGGAAAAATTATTTTGCATTGGTGCATGTTGATTTAGATCTTGCTTCATCTGAAGTCCTTACAGGTGTCTTCATCAGAATAACAATAAAAAAAAAACAGCATTAATTTATATTTTTGTTTGTGCATCATTTTGACAGCCCTAATACAGTAAATATGATATGAGTAGATCAGTATGAATCAGTATGTTAGATTAATGGGTGCAATCTGACAGCCAGTACCTTTGTATCAATGTCCCCAACATTTAAATAATCTTTGACCTTATTTGATTTTTGAAAGGAATATATTTTTTGTTGCACCTTTAAGCATCCCTCAGACTTGTGTACTGAGCTCTGAGGTGTTAAAACGAAGCGCTGCTGGTTCTGTGAGCTGTGGAAACAGGCTGCTGTGTCACTGTGGCAATGGGAATAATCCTGGTGTGATTTTGGACTGGCTCTGTGGACTCACCAGGCTCCCGTTATACTCTGACCTTCTGCTTTTAGATATTGACTTGCTGTGAGGTTTGATTTGTTTGTGATCTCTCCAGAACAGTGAAGATTGATGTTTATGACTGGGACAGAGATGGAAGGTACGTTGTTCTTCATGGCTCGTGTTCCCCTCGTGGGTAGTAAATATTCTGTTTACGAACACAAATTACCCTGCATATCAAGAATAACTCAAGTGATATTTTCATTAGCCAAAATAATTTCTTCTCTGCATGCTCATGCGACGTTCATTAAATATTCCTCAGATGAGTAAACGCTTTCATTTTTCTTCAGTCATGACTTCATCGGCGAGTTTACAACCAGTTATAGAGAGCTGTCTCGTGGACAGAGCCAATTCAATGTTTATGAGGTAAAAACTCTCTCTCTCTCTATATATATATATATATATTTTTTTTTACAAATTTGATTAATTGAGTTCTGGCAAAACACAACACATTAACACATTTGAGCTTTTTTGACTGGTTTAAAAAACATAAATAGTAAAAATAATATAATAAATAAGCATTTTTTAGTTTTTAATTGTTTATGTATTTTTATGCAGTAACAGGGTTGTGCTGAAAATGTGGGACGGAGCTATAATAATATAATATTGTTTTAATTTTTACTACAGTGATTTGAATATTATTTCAATTGATTATCAAAATGTTGTCATCGTTGTAGGATTTTTATTGTTAGATACAACCAAAAAGGTGCAAACAGGCTAAGAGGAGGAATACAGACATTTAATGTGTTGAAAACTAGCTACTTATCATGCCAGGGTAATTTTTTGTTAGATAATATTTTATCTAACATAGTTCTAAACATGTTCCTCTAATGCCTCTTAAAAAGTAATGGGACAACAACGTGGGCCGTATTCATGAAAGTGCCAAAAATGTTTCGTGAATCATAAAAGAAAACACATGAGGGACACTTCAGTAATATGTCATATTTTTTTTAGCCGTGCTTGATGGGTGTCTTTTTGTTTCTTTCAGGTTCTGAATCCTAAGAAGAAAGGCCGGAAAAAGAAATACGTCAACTCTGGCACGGTACGTGTGAATGAATTACCTGTCAAGCGCTCTTCTCTTCTGATTTATTTTCATAATGACTTCCATTATCTATCCTCTCTCTTTCTTTTTTTTCATTCTCTCTAGGTAACACTTTTGTCCTTCAAAGTGGAATCGGAGTACACATTTGTGGACTTCATTCGGGGCGGGTGAGTGCCCTTAAAAAGTCCCTGGATAAATTAGTCTGGAGAAAGATGCAGATTAACTGGTTCGAATCGAGAGCAGCTGTATCGGGCATGCATGTAAACCATTTGTGGAATTATAGTTAGTCAATCTGAATATATTGCGTTCGAGACAATACCAGTTAACTAGAAGTGGATATTATTGGTATTGTGCTTTCAGGACAGTTTAGTAACCATCATTTTTTTTTCAGGGATTACCAGCATGTGTGTTGAATACTGATACAAATAAATGAAATGCACTATAGGAATATACAGGTTTTTTTGTGCCATATATCCCAGGAATAGTCAAATAGTTTAAGGCTATAATAAAATCTGATAACAAAAAATAACAATTTTATGCTAATTCAATGTGATTATTTAAAATAAAATGCTAAAAATACACACAATGTCCCTTAAATTCCATGTTTTTATAAGGAAAACTGCATCACCAATCCATGCTTACTGAGAGCAGATAGCAAAAAATAAGTGAGGAGCCCATTTTTAATCAATTGACAGCTCTAATAAAAATTTAGAAACATTTTTTGCTAAAGCAAACATCACATACTCATTTCAAAACAACTTTATCAAGGCAATGATTCAGTATACCAGTGTGATACCAGTGTGTCATACCATATGCTTGCCTTTTAATTAGAGCTAAAACTTGAATTATGCATTGACTTGATAAAAAAAAAAAACATTATGTACTGTATATTGAACATTTATTTATTAATTAATTTATTTATTTATTCATTTGATATGTCCAGGTTAGAAGCATTTTGATCAGGAATTTTGCATCATGGAAATGTAATTTTAAGTAGTGTACTTTAATTAGCAACATAAATATGCATTTATATAATTGCTTTTGTCTATTATAAATTTGTATTTATATGGCATCCAAAAGTTAAAATAGTCCACATTGAAAATCTATTGAATTTAACCCTGGGAATAAAGTGTTAATACTTGAAACATTTTAAAACAAATAAATGAATTAAATGAATGGAAATCTATGTAGAGTTTTTCTGAACTGTTAAAGTGCTCTGAACCAAATTCTCAACATAGCCTAAACCAATTTGTTGAATAAATCACTCTGTAAATCCTTCAACAAGTTCAGGCAGTTATGACGCCATTTGCAAATCTCATGTACAAAACACATTACCGCACTGTGATGCACTTGTGTTGCAAAACGCTAAACACAGGCAGGAAAAAGTTAAACACAACTAAAAACACAGTTGTCATCGATTACACATCGACTCAAAACTGTTCACACTTATATCTAATGATGTGATTAATAACTCAACTGTGCAAAATAAGCCAGTTCAGAGTGTATAGGTGGACAGATGTACTGAATGTTGATACGAACAATAGATGGAAACAATCTGAAAAGGAGAGGAGGGGGTGGACGAGGAGGAAGAGGAGGAGGATGTGAAAGAGCCAGGTGTGGAGAGTGTTGTTAGGCTGAGTCAGATGTTCTCTGAATGTAGTTTGAAGGTTTGGTTTTGTGTTGAAGGTTTTGAGAAAGCATGATGGTTTGAGAAATGTGTTCAGGAAAACGGTAATATTTGGATTCTGGACTATTTCTAGATTACTAATCAAATGTGTGACATAAAGCATGTGAACTCCTTTGTACTAAAGGTCAGCTGTCTTGCTTCCTTCTAAGCATGGGTAATATGGATCAGGTTTTGTTCATTTCAGCTCTACTGCTGTTATTAAAACAAAGGGGGGACTTGCTGCTTAACTATCAGTTGTGCAATTCTCATTTTCTCAGTTATTTAGCTTCATATCCAGATTCAATCATACACTCTTAGAAGAAAAGGTTCTATATAGAACCATAAAAGGTTCTATCAGCGCTACGTATTTGGAACCCCTAAAAGGTTCTATACACTATTAAAAAAAGGGTTCCTCTGGGTTCTGTATAGAACCCTGGGGTTCCATACTTGGTCAATAGAACCTTTTACCAAAAAAAAAAAAATGGTATATAGAACCATTTTGAAGTTCCATATATGAAGCGGGGGATGGAACCATTTCTGGTTCTAAATAGAACCATTACTTCTAAGAGTGTAGGCTCGTTCTTACGTACTAGAGCATGTAGCATAAAGCGCTGCTTTAAATCTCTTGACAGACTAAAAGACGTAAATGAAATTTGCGTATATTCGAAATGAAAGATATAGAATTGTACTGGATGTCAGTTTGCTTGTTTTGCTGTAAGTGGGTTGTAGAGGCTACACTGGAACATCTACCCAGCGATTTCTGTAGTCACTCGGCTCTCAATACTCCTAGCAGAGGAGGCAGAACAAGGGGGCTTTTGGCTTCAGCGTCGGAGGAAGGATTAGAGCATGGGTGTAAGCAAGGATCCTAGAGCTGGCTGCAGGGGGCGGTTGGGATACGTCCCTTCTCGCTGTGTCGCCACCTTGAGATGTTCCGGGATTAAAGGAGCGAAATATTAGTGAAGGGTCCCGGCTGATGACCCCGCAGCCATCTCTGTGGCACTGGGAGAGGTGTGTCAGGCAGAAATGGGGCACACTGTAAAAAAATATTTTCAAGATTTGTTATCACAACATATTTTCTTTTGTCAAATCAATTTTATAATAATTTATTTAGTTGAGATAACTTATTATTTTGAGTTTCTGATGATTAAATTAATCTCCTTCATTGTATTAACTCACTTTTTCCAGTTCAATCAACTTAAAATTTTAAGGCAACCCATGTTACTTATTTTTTTAAGTTAAACCAATATTTTTTTTACAGTGTAGTAATCACAACATTTTTTCTTTTGTCAAAACAACTTAAATAATTTATTTAGTTCAGATAACATATAATTTTGAGTTTCTGATGATTAAATCATTCACCTTTATTAACTCACTTTTTCCAGTTCAATGAACTTAAAAATTTTAAAGCAACCAGGTTACTTACTTTTTTTAAGTTAAACCATCAATATTATTTTTACAGTGCAGATAAAGACTTTAATCCGCAAGAAACTATGCTTCTAACCACAGGGCCAGAAAATGGTTTTAGGAAACATTGTCTTGATCAACTATGCTGATAACGATGGAACAATGCACTTGAGAAACACACATCTGAGTGTGATTCGAACCGACATGGGAGGCATGGGAAGGATGCTACACTCTTAGAAGAAATGGTTCTATTTAGAACCAGAAATGGTTCCATCCCCCGCTTCATATATGGAACTCCAAAATGGTTCTATATAGAACCATTTTTTTTTTTTTGGTAAAAGGTTCTATTGGCCAAGTATGGAACCCCAGGGTTGTATATAGAACCAGAGGAACCTTTTTTAAGAGTGTATAGAACCTTTTATGGGTTCCAAATACATTGAACCTTTTCTTTTAAGAGTGTAAAGACTGCAGCCTCTTGCATCAGTCTCCAGTGTGCCGATCTAGCTAATATTTATAATTTGAAAAAAATAAGCATTTTCACTACCGGTAAAGTCTCTTTTGCTCAAAGCTGCTCTTATTTGGTCAAAATATAGTAAAATTGAAATATTGTGAATTATTACTACAATTTAATAACTGTGTAATTTATGAAGCTGAATTTTCAGCATCATTACTCCAGTCTTCATTGTCACATGTGCTGATTTGCTCAAAAAACATTTGATGTCAAGATTTTTTGATGAATATAATTTTTTTTTTTGTAACATTAGAAAAGTCTTTACTGCCTTGATAAATTGAATCCATCCTTGCTGAATTTCTTACTAACCCCAACATTTTGAAACATGTAAATTAGCAAATCATGTCAAGTACCAATATGATTGGTTACATCTTTTGACTGTGACTCTTTACTGTTAAAACAGAACACAGCTGAACTTCACCGTAGCAATAGACTTCACCGCCTCTAATGGTAAGACCCATCTTCATTGATTGAAATGCAACCATTTGGGTCTGTGTGGCATGCAAATGTCACATGTCCATTTTAGATTGGCCTCAATGTCATTGGGACTTGTGTCTAAACTTGTATTGATTGATACCTGAATGCAGGAAACCCATCACAGCCGACATCGCTCCACTACATGAACCCGTATCAGCTGAACGCGTACGCCATGGCCCTTAAAGCCGTAGGGGAAATCGTCCAGGATTATGACAGTGACAAACTCTTCCCTGCCTATGGCTTTGGAGCTAAACTCCCTCCTGATGGCAAGATCTCTCATGCTTTTCCCTGGTGAGTAACGGCTCAAAAAGAGCCATCATTAAAACGCACACAGTAATGTTGGATGGTTAAAGATTAGTGAAAATCATTTACTTACACTCACGTCGTTCCAAAACCGACACGACTTATTTTCCTTGCATATGGCATGGCACACATAATGTTTTTTTTTTTTTTTTTTTTCTTCTTCTATACACTGCATACATCCTCATGTATTATATATGAACTTGTGGAGGTTCTCTCCAATGCATGTGTGTTCTGACCTCGCAGAACTCGGACTGTGAGAATGCAAACTGCGTCGGCATCGAAGGCGTGCTGGAGGCGTACTATGACTGTCTTCGTAAAGTGCAGCTCTACGGCCCCACCAACTTTTGCCCCTGTCATCAACCAGGTGGCACAGTAAGCTAAACAGTCCTCCTGCAATTGACACGAGGATGAGCTCTCTTTCTGTCTCTCTGCCCTGGTCTTTTTTCTGTCTCCCCTGTGAGCTGAACTCCTTACTGTCACTATCCACTTGTTATTCACTCTAAAGCCTGTCCTCTCACTCCACCACACAAATGCACTTACTGTACGCGCACACACGAAGACTCCTCCAGAATCCTGTGCTTGACTAACACTTCACACGGTGTACCTGCTGCTCAGATGCAGCCGAGGTCTGATGTTTACCACGCAGAAACTTTTAAAAGGGACGTATCATGGAAAGCAGGATTTTTCTTGCTTGCTTGGAATAAGGGACTTTGATGTACTATGCAAGCAGCGTTCAAAGCGGCCTCTCCAGTCACCGATTATTTATTGAAACTGAGCTACAAAAATGGGTCATTTAAAAATCAGTTTATTGTGATGTGAAGCCATGAGCACCTTAACATTTTAGGTTTAAATGTAATGGGATGATTGCAAGTTTAGCTATTTCAAATATGAAGAGGTTAGCCTTTTACAGCAGAGGTCGTTCACATGTAGGGTCAAAAGTACAGTAGCAAAAACAAGCCGTTTGATAATTATAAGGGGTCAGATGTTGGTTGACAATTTGTTGAATTTATTCATAGTGAAAGTGAAATAGTATTATACAAAATAATCATATATTATTTATATAAAATATAGTAATAGTACTTATTATTTTTAATAGTAATAAAAATGTATATGACATTAACAACATTAATTTAATAATTTATATTAAGTCTAACAATATAAATTTAGCAAAAAACAAGCTGTTTAATAATTCTAAAGGTCAGATAGGGTTGACAATTGTTGAATTTATTCATAGTGAAAGCCTAATATTTAACAAAAATAGTATTATACAAAATTATATATTTTATCTTATTATATAGAATATATTAATTCTACTTATTATTATTTTAATAGTAATAAAAATGTATATGAGATTAATAACATTTATTTAATAATTATATTAAGTCTAACAATATAAATTTAGCAAAAACAAGCTGTTTAATAATTCTAAAGTCAGATAGGGGTTGACAATTGTTGAATTTATTCATGGTGAAAGCTAATATTTAACAAAAATAGTATTATACAAAATATTACATATTTTTATTATTACTATACTAATACTACTTATTATTATTTTAATAGTAATAATAAAATTTATATGACATTAACAACATTAATTTAATAATTATATTAAGTCTAAACAATATAAATTTAGCAAAAACATTCATGAAACATGCATGAATAATTAAAACATTGATTATTTCT